TTCTCCCGCTCGTTCCAGCGGATGATGAACACAATATTCGCAGACATGCTTCAAGAAGGCTGGCTTTGCATTTACATGGACGACATCCTGATCTTTTCCCAGGACAAAGCAGAACACGAAGAACGAACACAACGTGTTATCAAACGACTTCGACAACATGACCTCTACCTCAAACCGGAGAAATGTGCCTTCGACGTCACCGAAGTCGAATTCCTCGGCATGATCATCCGTCCAGGAGAAATTGCAATGGACCCTGTCAAACTAGCTGGCATCACAGAGTGGCCGGTGCCGTCCAACCTCAGGCAAGTACGCGCCTTTGTTGGATTTGGAAACTTTTACCGCCGGTTTATCAAAGGCTTCTCGGACAAAGCGCAACCGCTGGTTGCTCTCACCCGGAAGGACGTCGCCTGGACCTGGGGATCTGACCAACAGAAAGCCTTTGAGACCCTCAAAAAGGCATTCCTAGAAGAACCGGTACTACGTATGCCGGATCCTGACCGACCCTTCACCATCGAAACCGACGCCTCAAAGTTTGCCACCGGAGCGGTGCTACGCCAACGTGATGACAATGGCGATTGGCATCCTTGCGGATACCTCTCCCAGAGCTTCAATGCGGCTGAACGAAACTATGACATCTACGACAGGGAATTATACGCGGTCATCCGTGCACTAGATGAGTGGAGGCACTACCTCATTGGCAGCCCATACCCAGTAACGATTCTCAGCGACCACAAGAATCTCACATACTGGAAGCAGGCCAAAGACATGAACCGACGACAAGCACGCTGGGCGAGTAAACTGACCGAGTTTGACTTCCGCCTGGTGCACGTTCCTGGTACCCAAATGGTGCAGAGCGACACTCTCTCCCACCGACCCGACCATGACGACGGCTCAAATGACAACACCGACGTTGTTATGCTCCCACCGGAAGTATGGGTCGCTGCCGTCGACATCGACACCCACGACACCATCCTTTCCTTTAAGGACGACCCAATAATGAAGGAAGGCCTCACTGCAGTGTGCACTGGAGGAACACCACGCACTAGAACAGACTGGTCCATCGATGATGACCTCCTCTTATACCAGGATCGGGTCTATGTACCCCCAGATGAGTCTCTTCGCAAACGTCTTGTCTCCCACTATCACGACCTCCCCTCCGCAGGACACCCCGGTGTTCAGAAAACCCTTCTTGGCTTGCGCCGTGACTACTGGTGGCCGAGCATGGCCCAGTTTGTCGCTCGCTATGTTAACGGCTGTGGCATCTGCCAGCAAATGAAGGTTAACACGCATCCAGCCCGACCGCCCATCACCCCCATTCGGCCCCGTGCAAATGCCAAGCCCTTCAGCACATTCTCGTGCGATTACATTACCGACTTGCCACCGTCCAACGGCTTCGATTCAATTCTGGTCGTAGTGGACCACGACCTTACGAAGGAGGTAATGTTCATCCCATGCAACAAAACAATTGACGCTCTTGGGACGGCAGATGCAATGTACCGAGAGGTCTACAAGTGGTTTGGACTCCCAGACAAGATTATCAGTGACCGAGGACCGCAATTTGCGTCCAAAGTCTTCCAGGAACTTTGCAAAATGACTGGGGTCCAATCAGCCATGAGTACAGCATTCCATCCGCAAACCGACGGCGAGACAGAACGAGTGAACCAAGAGCTGGAGATCTACCTCCGCTGCTTCACTGCCAATGACCCGGATAAGTGGGCTGACCATCTTCACACCGCGCAATTTGCTCACAACTCCCGTGAGCACTCCACGACGAAGGCGTCCCCGTTCAAACTCATGATGGGATACGAACCTTGTGGAATACCCACCGCGCACCCCGGATCAAACACGCCCCAAGCAGCTTATCGCCTCAAGGACTTGCAAAACATCCGCGAAGAAGCACATGCGGCAATGGAGATGGCCCAGAACGTCCTGGCCAAGAGAGTAAAAAGGAAGGGGGGTTCCTTCCATAAAGGTCAGCTGGTATGGCTAGACTCCCGGAACTTGAAACTGCCGTACCCGTCCAGGAAACTAGCCCCGAGGTGAGAAGGGCTGTTCAAAGTCCTAGACAAGATTGGAACAGTCGCGTACAAGCTAGACTTGCCTAGCACCTGGCGAGTCCACCCCATTTTCCACGAATGGCTTCTATCTCCCTACCCGGAAACGGAGATCCATGGTCCGAACTACACGAGGCCACCCCCTGACCTTATCGAAGGCGAAGATAACTACGAAGTCGAAGCCATCATCGGACATCGAGAGAACAAGAGGATGCGGCGCCGCGAATATCGCGTCAGGTGGAAGGGTTACTCAACAGCCGATGACTCATGGGAGCCCGAAGCGAACCTGACTGGGACGGCTGACGAAGTGTTGGCAGAATATAAGAACAGGAAGGACTTGAGCTAAGTCGTCAGCAGCTCTACCCAGTCGCTACATTCCCACTTGCACCAACATGTCTTCCACCCTCCCGTTCCTCGACCAGTTCAATGCCCCCTCGACCGAAGGTGGGAAAAGGATCTCAATCTACACCCCTAAGCACACCCATGTCGGTGACAGCACCTTGCTGACGCTTCTCCTCAGTAATCCCACCGACGTCTTCAACAAGCTCAAAGCCCACAACCCCGAGGCAACCAATGCCACCGACCGCGCTGCACTAGAGGCGTATCTCTCCGCCCGCCGCGAATATGACGAGGCTGTCAAGGCAGCCGACGAGGCCATCGACCACCACAAACGGCTCCTACGCCAACAGGACGACCGCGTCCTCACTGAGCTCATCCGGCTCGACAATCTGAAAGTTGCCCATCGCTTTCAACCGCTCTTACCACGCAGCATCCGGGCACGACACAACAAATTCATCCCACGCGCCATCCCCAACGCGTACTTACCCCTACCCGCACCCCTACCGACGTCC